TTACCAGTGCTAACAAAGGCCAAATTGTTTACGAAAGTTGATTTAGCTTCGGCTATTTGACTACATTTGGAACCTCTTTTGGTCGCTACCGATGGTTGCACTTACCATTTGGTTTGCAGGTGTCCAGTGAGATTTACCAAAAACGTTTGATGCAAGCACTAGATCATCTCCCCGGTACACTATGTGTGGCGGACGACCTGCTGATTTTCGGTGCCACGAGAGAGGAGCATGACCGCAATCTACGCAGATACTTACAGCGTTGTGCAGGTAGGAGCATTAAACTTAAACATGACAAGTTCGAATTACGCAAAATGGAGGTAGTTTTCTATGGACACATATTGAGTGCAGATGGACTGAAGCCAGATCCGGAAAAAAATTAGGGTCATAAACGAGATGAGGCATCCGACTGATGTGAAAAGTTTAAGCAGGCTGAACGAGGTGGTGAACAACCTAACTCGTTTTTACCCCGACTAGCTGATGTGATGATTTCCATCAGGAAACTGACACACAAGGGCGAAAGTTGGCAGTAGAACGCAGAGCAAGAAGATGCCTTCAAACAAATTAAACAGTTGATCACAGACGCCCTTGTGTTAGCTTACTATAATCCCTCGTTTCCACTTGAGATCCAATGTGATAACAGCCAGTTCGGCATCGGTGCAATGCTAATGCAGAAGGGAAAGCCCATTGATTTCCTTAGCCGGACGCTAACAGAGGCAGAACGCCGCTGCGCTCAAATCGAGAAACAAATGCTTGCACTAGTATATGCCGTGGAACATTTCAACAATTATACATTCGGTCTCCGAACTACGGCTTTCACTGACCACCAGCCACCAGTGTCTATAGCCAGTAAGTCACTTCATGTTGTTCCACGTCGTCTGTAACGGGTGCTAATTCGCCTCCAAAAATATGAGCTGGAAATCGTCTTTCAGCCAGAATCAAAAATTACATCGCTGATACGCTATCAAGGGCATATCTGCCGGACGTGATCGGAACGCAAGAAGACCTCGATTCTGTTCATGCAACGCAGCTGCTTGCGGTCACGGAAGAGCATTTCCATCAGCTGCTACATTGCGTGGAAGGTGAGCTATGCCAACTACTCAAGGAAACGATACTTAAATGTTGGCCCGAAAACAAAGAGAATCTACCCAAGGGGTTAACGCCATTCTTCCATTTTCGGGACAAACTCACCACTCAAGACGGACTAATACTTAATGGTAAGCTTATAGTTGTTTCGAAGAAAATGCAGCGTTCCATGCTCGATCTCACACACTGTGCTCACTTGGGAGTCCACAACTGTTTAGAGAGAGCTAGAGAACTAATGTTTTGGCCCGGGATGACCAGTCAGATACGCGCTTAGGTTTCAGACTGTTTAGCATGGCGAACTTATGATGCTACACGAAGTCCCGGAGAAACCTTGGCAGAAAGTCGCTGTGGATGTTTTCCTTCAGCGAATTACCTGATTGTGGTTGATTACTTCAGCAATTACTTCGACCTTGCTGCACTTTCTACGACCAGCGCGCAAACCGTCATAAACAAGCTACGATGTCGCTCGACACGGAATACCGGAGGAGGGGATTTCCGACAATGGCCCTCAATTTATTAGGGCAGAATTTCGCAACTTCAGCAATAAGGAATTTTCTGCACCAACTCACCGGCCCGTATCCCAGCCACTTGAACGGAAAGGCGGAGTCAACTTTCTAAGCAAAGAAACTGCTTACTACGGCCAAGGAGACCCATGAAGATCTCTACCTCGTTGCTCGAAAGGCGCAACACGCCATCCGCTTAACTTGGGGCGCGTCCAGCTCAACTTCTTTTCCCTCGTATGACAAGGACGTTACTGCCAACAGCTAAGGTTCTACTACAGCCAGAACTAGCTTCGAATATTCTTATGAAAGACCGTCTACACAACAGAATGCTGCGAAAAAAAATAACGTGACCGTGGATCAAGATAACTTCCACTACCGGGGGGCGAAGTATAGGTGGAACCAAGTTTGGGCCTCGACAGACGTCGGAGGAAGGGATTTATTGAACGTCACAATGGAAAGAGAAGCTATGATCTAAGCATCGAGAATAGTGTCATTCAACGGAACCGAGTACAACTGAGGAGACATCGGAGTGAACAGATTTGGCAACGGGAGGAGCAGCATCAGCAACAAAACTAGCCAGTTGACATTTCAGCCCAGGACGGCAAAGTCAGTCGCAGCCGAAGACCATATGCAACATACAGAATCGAACTACAAAGAAACGAAAAAGGATGTGATGGTAGCTGACAACGCAAGCGAACTGAAAAGGCAACCAATATTACAACAAAGCCCCATAGACAAAGGTGGATCGACTTGCGGAGTGGTGAGTCAATCATGCCGTTTGTCCAGGTCTAACCCAATCGAGTCACCGGCAGCTTACGCAGGTTTCGGGCGCAATACGCATCACACGAGAACCACAAGCAGGCCAAGCGGAAACCGACAGAGGCGGCAGACAACAAGCCAATCAGAGCACGTACCGAATGAGCGGACCGGAATGGTTTGGTGGCATGGACAAAGCGCACCATTGTCCCAAAGAAGCTATGACTGGTCCACCCGGATAAGTACGATTGTTGAGCGTCAGCCAATGAACACAAGCAAATCACCGGAAAGAATCGACCATTGTGAAAAGGTTCAGTGAATAGTAATGTAAAAGTATAAAACTGCCCAGTGTTTCTTTAACAACCGATTTGTGACCGCTGCCCAGACTTCCTTCTTGCTTCTCGGAGGGCTACGCAGCAATGACCACCAGCGGCTTGAACCGCTAATCATCAGCTTATGCCACTGTGCTATGGGGGTAGCGGCAGGCCGTCGTGATTTAGATGCTAACTGCGTGTTCATCTAAAGCCACCCAAAGCCAACATGTCT